ACATAATTCTGAATTAAATCATGAAATCATAGAATTCATGCATTTATCATATAAAATCAAGAGAATTATATGCAATCATGGTACCAAAATATCATAATTAAGTCAAAAAATAACTCTCTTTTGGAGAGTTATCATCAGTCTACATCTTGAAAGGATAAATGGACAATGGTCCTGTGATGGCGTAAGTGCCAGTATATATATATATACCTCGGGTGGACCTGAGTGCCGGTATGCAGATGTCGTGACCGTGAAATTGCTCTAGACTTCCCTTTGGGGATTGGATCCTAAGAGGTACGACTCTTGGAAGTCCCAGGTGGACATTGTTTGAAGTGGAACTCATTGGATGGCCTCTGTGTGCGGATCGCGTGAACCAGTAAATGATGACATTCCTCGTAACGTATTGAACAATTGATAAACAGAGTGATGATGTTTTAAATGTAATGGATATTCTACAACCACCAAGGGAAGTAACGAACAAGAATTAATGGACAGTGGATTTGAACTGTAACATGATAGAAGGAACTATTAAGAGTTAGGAAATATGTACAAAATTATGAGGAGAATATGAAGTCTTGTAATAGTGACTATGTGATAAACCAGGTCAGAGGATTACCCAAAATGAAAGTAAACTATCGGTGGAAAGAATTAAACGAGGAAGTTATAATGAATTTACCTATATGTAATATGTTTATATTATACCACTACTATTATTATTATTGGGGGTAGCCCCATGTGAATATACCAAACACATTTGTCGTTATATACGGATATGATACAGATGCCTGATGTGCCTCTGGCACGTGTGGTTTTTTCATGTTAAAATTGATAAGAATTGAATCATAAGAGAGCAATTTAGATACATATTTGCTATTTATATTGATTCTTTCTATGTCAATAATATTCATCTTTTGGTTGTGTTTTTACAGGAAAAAGAGGAGTGAAAATTACAAATTATAAAAAGCCTGTTGACGCGACTCCACACGCACAAATGTATCACAGTATAAATGCCAGAGATTTGGCACATGTTGGCACCACACTGGCGCAAACCAGCGCCAGATTGCGAACTTTGCAGCGGAGACCTTGTGAATGGCGCCACTAGGCGCCCAATCATGAAGCAAATGGCGCCTCCTAGCACCATGGCGCCACTAGGCGCCCACAAGAAGGACCATGGCGCCACTAGGCGCCCACAAAGAAGGAAATTGGTGCCAAATGGCGCCCAAAAGATGAAGAATGGCGCCAACTGGCGCCGAGTCACGGGAATTGGTTCCGAATTGCAGCATACATTGGGCAGGAAGTTGGCGCAAACGTGCGCCAAACCGGCGCCAACTGGCGCCGGGTTGCGGGATAGAAGTACCGTGTTATCTCGGGGGTATTTTTCGAAGAAGGAAAAGAGTCATATAAATAGGATCCTTTTGACAGAATTAGGGAGTCAGACCTATTTTTCTTCAGAAGGAGACCGACGACAGAGCTCAGGAGGATTCTTCTACAGTTTTTCTTCTTCTCTTTTCTTCTTAATTTTATGCTTTTGAATATTGGATTATTTTTAGCCATGAGTATGCTTGGCTAGTTTTCTTTTATTGTAGTTAGGGTCACAAACCCTATGTGAACCCTTGTTACGCGGATTGATTTATAATTGCTCGTTTATATAATTCTCTTTATCTCTACCTTGTTCGTATTTGATATTTTCTTTATTAGAATTGATCACTCTAATAGTTGATAATAGTCTAAGGGTTACAACCCTAGATAGGGATATTGGGGTTTTCATCCTGAAAGGGGGTAGGATAACGGTTCGTATGCATGCTAGGAATAGATGTGTATTGAATTGCGGATGCCTAAATTATAAAGTTCATTGCTTAATTTTCATGAGGGGTTGCTAAGGGATTAGGATTCCAATTGGGGATTAAAGGGTTAAATTGCCAAGGGATTGGGATTTAACTAATTATTTTAGATAATAATTTATCCGAGTAATTTTATAAATTAATGTTGTAAATCAATCCAAAGTAAGAAGTGGGGATCATAAGGTGAGTGCGCTCTAGCTACAATACCTTTCTCATATTTTTTTTAAACCAATTCTCATTGTTATTGTTTTATTTCTATTAAATAAAAATATAAAAACAAGTCTTTATTCCATATTGTTACTAAAATTCAATTCACAATTTTCCGAACAACAAACCGAGTTTTCCAACTTAAGGGGACTGGTTATTGTAGTACTTGGTTTACAATCCCTGTGGAGACGATACTTTACTTACTCATTATATTACTTGTGCGATCGGTACACTTGCCGGTGAGCATCAAGTTTTTGGCGCCGTTGCCGGGGATTGCTAATTCCAATATTACAAATAACCGTTGATCTTTGAGATTGGATTTTTATTTTATTTATTTATTTATTTTATTTTATTTTGTTCTATCTTGTTTTGTGTTTGCAGGTGCTACTTATTATTTTGTTTTCTGAGTTTATGCGAGGTAGACTTGCTCCTACAGATTTTGTGATTGATTCTGAAATTGCAAGAACTGAGAGGAGACTGAGGAAAGTTGCCAAGCAGATAATTTGGGAAGAATTCAAGAACATACCTGTACAACCAATACAAGCAATGGCGGGTAACAACAATGCAAACAACCCACCTCCAAGATTGTTGGACACCATTCTGACTCCGGTGTTCAATAGGCCAAATTCAAGTATAATCAGGCCGACGGTGGAGGCAAACAATTTTGAGCTGAAGCCATCTCTGATTACTTTGGTGGAAAGGGTTCAGTTTTCTGGTGCTGAGGAGGAAGATCCTCATGAGTTCATAGATCGATTTCTGATGATCTGTGACACTACCAAGCACAATGAAGTGTCTGCCGATGCTATCAGGCTGCGATTATTCCCTTTTGTTGTTAAGGGAAAAGCTCTCAGATGGATAGAGAGGCAGCCAGCTAATAGTATCATGACATGGGAAGACTTGTCCACAAAGTTCTTTGCCGAGTTCTTTTCTATGGAGAAGTACAACCAGCTGGTAAATGAGATCACAAACTTCTGCCAGTTTGAAGGAGAATCGCTGTGTGCAACCTGGAAGAGATTCCAGGAACTTATCCGAAAGTGTCCGCACTATGAGGGAGATGATGACAGAAAGGTAGCAATCTTCTTTAATGGCATCTCTCCTGAAACAAGATTGGTGATAAATAGTGCAGCTGGGGGTTCTATTCGGCAGAGTACATCTGAGCAAGCCATTGAATTGATCAAGAAACTTGCAAGAAATGAGAATCAGAGCTTCCCAGTTCAGGCAAGAAAAGGAGTAATAAAGCTGGAAAGCAATGATGTTATGCTTGCTGAACAAAAGCTGTTGTCTAAAAAGTTTGACAGCTTGAATGAGAAGTTTGAGAAAATGCAAGTGTCCAAGGTTCAATCAACTTCTGTGATGTGTGAATACTGTAAGGAAGCTCATGAGTCTAATGAGTGTCCCACTCTAATGGGTGATAATCCACAGCAGTTGCAAGTGAATGGGGTTTGGTATGAACAGAAGCCCCAACAAAATTTTCAAAGAAATCAGAGTTCTCCTGGCAAAAGTAATTTTCAGAGGAGAGGTCAAGGAGGTGGTCTTGATTATAGCTCAAACAACTTTCTGCAACCTCCTCCTATTCCACAGAAGGAACTTTCTGATTTGGAGAGATTAGTTGGACAAATGGCTCAACACTCCAATGCTTTTATGGAGGAGACTAGAGCCAATACAAAAAATACAAATGCTTTCATGGAAGAGACTAGGGCTAATACCAGAAACATGAGTGCTTCAATTAGAAATCTGGAGAATCAAATTGGCCAGCTGGCCAAGCAAGTTGCTGATAGAACTCCAGGTAATTTCCCTAGTAACACAATTATAAATCCCAAGGAAGATTGTATGTTTGTCACAACTAGAAGTGGCAAAGTGGTGGCTACTCTAGAAAAGCCGAGCATAAATGTGGAAGCTGAGAAGAAACTAGATACTGCAGGTGAGCCCACAAAAGAAAAAGAAATTGAAAAACCTGCTGAAGTGGAGAAGCAAGTTGAAAAGAAGAAGTTTGAGCTAAGTCCTGAATATGTGAGAGCCATGGCACCCTATCCTGAAAGGTTCAAGAAGGATGCTCAGAAGCAACAATATGTCAGATTCCTTGATATATTCAAAAAGCTTCATATCAATCTTCCATTTGCTGAAGCCTTGGCTTGCATGCCTAATTATGCCAAGTTCATGAAGGACTTGTTATCAAAAAAGCATAAGCTGCAGGAATGCCAAATTGTAACACTCACTGAGGAGTGTAGTGCCATCATACAGAAGAAGTTCCCACCCAAACTCAGTGATCCAGGGAGTTTCAAAATTTCTATTGAAATTGGGTGTAACATCCCGTCTAATTAGGAATCTATTTTAATTGCAATTAGGAATGTGGTGGAGTATATGCATTCGGATTATATAAATGTTTGCTCTAGGACGAAGTTAAATTAAAATTAGGGAATTCTTGGTGTTACCATGGAAGGTGAGTACCTATTTTACACATGTGAAATTCTAGTTATGAGGATGGGAATAATTTAATTATAATACATAGAAAGCATGACACTACGTAGAATTTATATGAGTACTCATTAAAAATATGTGATTAATTTCATTACAAAAAAAAAATAAAAAAAAATAAACCCTTAGTAAATAATTAGTAGGATATGATATGTGAGGGGTGAACCTTTAGGGCACTAATTTGGAGCCCACTTCCCATTAAGGGCCACGGCCCAAGGGTCCTCTTGAAGGGCTTAGATCAGCCATGATCCATTAGGTTTTACCATTTATCATTTAATAAAGTTTGTGTAGTACTAAAACATTAGCCAAGTGGACACACATGATAACATCCAACCACCTTATCCCTCCACCATTGGTGCGTTTAGGATTGAAAGAGGATTTTGATGAATGGGTGTGTGTGTTAAGTCCAAGTCAGCCTTGACACCACTTACCACCAATGAAGGGAGAGTGACCTACATGCATGCTTTATCATTGGTCCTTAAATCATCTCCCTCCCTACGTTTGTGCGCATAGGAGTAGTATTACAAATCTGAGTTAGATACACTTGGTCAGAATGTTGGGCAAACCTTGCTGTCTTCTCCTTCCTCATAGGCGCAAAGAGAAGAAGGCCAACCCGAAGACTGGATACTTTCCCGTTAGCTTTCTTCTTCCCTTAGACGCTGAAGTGAGAGTCTCCAAACTGATTGCTCACTCCATGGATTAGAAGCAAACCAAATCTCTCTTATTCCTTGTGACCGTGAGCTCTTTTGAGAGTAACACAAAAGAAAACCTCCGAGACTTTACATCACTCTCATCCCTTGCAGAAGCCTTGAACTTCAAAGGAAAGGGCATTACTCTAGCAAGGAGTTGAGGTACTGCCTCTCTGTACATGCACCTCACCATTTCTCTCTGTCCCTCCATGGAACTTCCCCTCGCATGCAGCCGAAGCCAGAACTATAGGAGCGCTGAGAGAGGGCAGAAGCTGCTACATCTTTTGGTTGCTGCCCCGTGACCATTTAAGAACCTTTGGTCACATGTAATAAGGTAACGTAGAGTAAAATTAGTCCCCTGTTTCCTTACTGTTTCGGTCTCTAAAACCATTTATAGAGGAGTTATGTTTGTCATTTCCTTTCCTTGGTTTCTGTCTAGTTGGTTAACCCATGATCTCTTGTTGCATGCAAACAAAGAACCTATTTTGGAACATGGAAGAGAGCCCTTACTGTTTTAGGGATTGCTCTTTGACTTGAAAACATAGCAAGTCTGGCATGTGTTTCAACCATGAAGACAGCATGCTAAAACCTTAGTAGTGTACTCTTAACCCATCTAGGGAAGGCGATATAAATGAAAATTAAAAGATCCTAGTTGAAGCATACTGTATAAGTCGAAAATACATACATAGGAGCCCATGGGTAGATCACTTGATAACAGTGGGTTAGGCAAATTAATAGTGGTTTACATGTGTGGAATGTAAGTGTACAGAACCCCTTTAGCGCACCCTTAAGTTTAACAGAGTTGGGTATGTAAATAAATACCACGAGCATCCTTTTTAATTCTAAAATCCAATTCTGAATATGTCGAAACTATTCGCTGTTACTTATTGGAAATAAATTAATGTGAAACCCGAAATTGTTTAGAGTAATAAGCAGGTTAAAACCGAATTGGTATACAAGGAAAAACCTAGGATTTGTTATTGTTACAAGTTAGAATAATTAGCATGAAATCAGAAAATTATTCGTCATGAAAAACATGAAAAGCGATGCTATACAAGAGTTAGGTGGCATAGAAATTGTTTGTAAATTATAGAAAAGATTATTTAGAAATTCTAAATTGGTCTAGTTGGTATATGCTGTTGTATCAAGTTTTGCTCGAATTAAATTAATAGGACAGTATGATAATATGTTATTAAATAATGGTAAGGCAGAAAATGGTGATGCACAAGAAGTATGGTAAATCGAATAAAATACAAGAATAAGAGGCATGCGAATTTCTTATAAATAATAGGAATGTATGAATAAAATTCTGACTTGTACCGCATGTATTTAGGTGCACGTAATTCTTATTGAGTGGGCTGAATTTTGGTGCTGTTGATTATTGCATGGACATAAGGTATGTGTAGACGGTATTACCTAATGTGACTATTGGCTAGTGTATGGAATTGTGATGTGTTGCTCACATTTGTCCTATGTATGTTATGATGATGATGAGCCAATGGTAAGAATATGAAAGGATGATATGATATATGCATGCATTTTACATCATAATACATTTTTCTGTTGGGTGCGATTGAATAACATGGCATGTATACTTGATTCATGACATCTTGAATATATATATATTTGTATTGAGGACATGTGACTGAGCATGCATCATATAGGCATGCCTGGTACCAGGAGAGGGGACACTTGGCTTCAGTCCGCATAGGTTCCACAGTGGGATTCACCTTCATGGGAGCCATTAGGAATACCCACTGTGATGCTACGCGCACGATGGTGCTATGAGCGTAAAGGAAAAAGGGCGTTATATACGCGTTATGATATATGATGAAAAGGATTAAATGTTTGAAGTGACTATTTATGGTTTTTTGCCAAGTTAATATTGTTGCATTATGGTTTTGTTTCGACACTACTGGGATTTTCTCTCACCCCTTTGGGGCTGCTATTTTTACAAAATGGCAGGAGGACGTAAAAGCTTTTGAGGACTTGGATATTTGTTGTTGGCTTCTACTATTTTGGGCATGCTGCTATTGATGTGATATTTTATGGATGACTGTATGAAATTGAGAAGCTTTTATTACTGTGAACTATGATTTTATTATTGCATTACGATTTTATGACCAGCAAGTATTTTGGAAACAGATGTTGAAATTTGCGAAAAGGATTTTGACATGTTATCTAAATGCTGAGTTTTGAAAAGTCTTTGCGAGCACTTTGTAAGTTGTCGTACTGGGGCTATGGACCTCCGATTTTCTTATAATTTATATGCACGCGTAGCCCCAGGTGTCTAGTTTCATTATATATAAACCTTGCAAAGAAATTCTGAAAGATCGATTTATTATGAATTTTACCAGCCAGGACATTTGTGATATTTCCACTATTTTCTCTCTTATTTTGCGAGTTATGTTTCGAGGGGCAAACGAACTCCAAACCACTATTATTTTATATGAACGTGAAGCCCCAGATGTCTAGTTTCCATATTACAAAGAATATATTTTTGAATTGTTGAACTGGATTTTATACGAATTTTTAAAGACAGCAAGGTCTATCAGGAAATTTATATTTTTAGTAAGTTGAAGAAATTTTGCGTATTCTGATTTTAGTAATTAACCAGATCCCCTCTTTAGTTTTAATTGGCAATGTAAAAGCGATTTTTTTTCAGTCTCTAAAATACTATTAAAGAACTCTAATTCCGCTTAGCAAACAACTCTCTTGGAGGCCTACAAGAGAGGGTGTTACATTGGGGACACAAAAATTGGCAGTGCATTATGCGATCTTGGGGCTAGCATTAATTTGATACCCCTTTCTGTTTGTAAATCCTTGGGGATCACCGAGTTAAAGCCCACTTTGGCATCTCTTCAACTTGCTGATAAGTCTTTGAGGAAGCCTAGTGGTATTATTGAAGATGTTCTTGTAAAGGCAGACAAGTTCATCTTTCCTGCTGATTTCGTAGTGTTGGACATGGAAGGGGGAGCTGAGATGCCTCTTTTGCTGGGTAGACCTTTCTTGGCCACTGCTCGGGCATTGATTGATGTTGAAAACGGGAAGCTTGAGCTAAGGATGAATGAAGAGACCGTTACCATTAACGTCTTTGATTCTTTAAAACAGTCTTCTCACAAAGATGATTGTTTTAGTCTTGAAGTAAAGGAAAAACAAAGTGTAGCGGATGATGCCAAGGAAGATGGTGCCATAAAGGTGGATTTGAAGGAGCTTCCTCAACCTCAAAAGAATGTCTTCTTGGGTGATAAGGAGGCGGTGATTGAAGCACTGAAGGAAGAGGAAACTGAATTGAAAAATAAAGATCCCTTTTCCCATACGAACAAAATTCTCAATGAGGATGATGACAAACCTGGGAGGAAATCTAAAAGGAGGCGTCATCCTATGCTGAAGAAGGTACTAAGAAAGGAAGTGGTGAAACTCGTTGATACGAGTTGGAAGAGACATCGGGAGCTGAAATTTGACAAGAGACACCGAGACTCTATCTCTCGAAAAAACCAAAGCTTCAAAGAGTTCCTCGCATGGATTAATATTTTGGAACAAATCTGGGAATTGTGGTCTCATACACCAAGGCATCCAGCACCACCAGATCCTCCATTTGCTGAATCATCCCACGCTGCTGAGGGGGATGACATGGAGGGTTGATCATATCTCCTTGCTGATGGAGATTTTGTATATTAGTTTATTTTTCAGTTTCGTATTTTTATTTTTTTATTTTTATTTTGTGTTGGTTTATTTCTCTCTGATGTTTTACTGTGTGCATTATAGTTTATTCTATATGCCACTGTTTGTTCTATTGTGTAGGTTTTTCTTCTTTCTCGTGGTTTAATTATTGCTGAGGACAACAATTCTCTAAATCTGGGAATGGTAGGCAGGCTTGCACCTGAGAACTGCAATTCTTCTATCAGGGGAAATACTCTAACTCTTTTAATTTTCTTAGTTAATTTTTATAGTTATTTTGTGTGATATATATAAAAAATAAATAAATAAATAAATAAATTTTTGAACATGTTTTCTGAGCAAGTCCCAGGTTTAGATATGCTTTCCCTAGTTAACTTGCCTGATTCATCCTAGGAAATATGTTTTGTATGAACTTCTGGCATGATATTGTATGGGCATGAGTAGACTTCATGATTGCTCGTTTGTCTGAATTTTGTGTTTGAATGATTAATGATGCCTGATGTTTCTTTTGGAAGTCTAGCTTGACATCATAGCTGGTGAGGTTTTGTGCTTAAACACTTATTTTATTCTGAGAGACCTCATTGTGATAGCATTCTAGAACTTGCTCTATTTCTCTGAGATGCATGCATTGGTTGATATGATAAAGGCATTTTGTTCTTGTTAGCTATTGGCCAAAAATAACCCACCTGTATGAATTTTTCCACTGCTAACCCCTTTGAGCTTGAGCCTTTTTGTTCATAATTCCTGATTGATGGTTTAGCCTATATCCATGTGACTTACCTTAATTGAGATTGAATTACTGATATGTTGGAATAATTGATTGTTTCCTGTATTGAGTCTTGTACATTGCTGGGGACAGCAACGTTTAAATCTGTGAATGATTTGATGTGCTTCTGGCAAGTGTGGTTTTTTCATGTTAAAATTGAAAAGAATTGAATCATAAGAGAGCAATTTAAATACATATTTGCTATTTATATTGATTCTTTCTATGTCAATAATATTCATCTTTTGGTTGTGTTTTTACAGGAAAAAGAGGAGTGAAAATTACAAATTATAAAAAGCCTGTTGACGCGACTCCACACGCACAATTGTATCACAGTATAAATGCCAGAGATTTGGCGCATGTTGGCACCACACTGACGCAAACCAGCGCCAGATTGCGAACTTTGCAGCGGAGACCTTGTGCATGGCGCCATTAGGCGCCCAATCATGAAGCAAATGGTGCCTCCTAGCACCATGGCGCCACTAGGCGCCCACAAAGAAGGAAATTGGCGCCAAATGGCACCCAAAAGATGAAGAATGGCGCCAACTGGCGCTGAGTCACGGGAATTGGTTCCGAATTGCAGCATACATTGGGCAGGAAGTTGGCGCAAACGTGCGCCAAACCGGCGCCGGGTTGCGGGATAGAAGTACCGTGTTATCTCGGGGGTATTTTTGGAAGAAGGAAAAGAGTCATATAAATAGGATCCTTTTGACATAATTAGGGAGTCAGACCTATTTTTCTTCAGAAGGAGACTGATGGCAGAGCTCAGGAGGATTCTTCTACAGTTCTTCTTCTTCTCTTTTCTTCTTAATTTTATGCTTTTGAATATTGGATTATTTTTAGCCATGATTATGCTTGGCTAGTTTTCTTTTATTGTAGTTAGGGTCACAAACCCTATGTGAACCCTTGTTACGCGGATTGATTTATAATTGCTCGTTTATATAATTCTCTTTATCTCTACCTTGTTCGTATTTGATATTTTCTTTATTAGAATTGATCACTCTAATAGTTGATAATAGTCTAAGGGTTACAACCCTAGATAGGGATATTGGGGTTTTCATCCTGAAAGGGGGTAGGATAACGGTTCATATGCATGCTAGGAATAGATGTGTATTGAATTGCGGATGCCTAAATTATAGAGTTCATTGCTTAATTTTCAGGGGTTGCTAAGGGATTAGGATTCCAATTGGGGATTAAAGGGTTAAATTGCCAAGGGATTGGGATTTAACTAATTATTTTAGATAATAATTTATCCGAGTAATTTTATAAATTAATTTTGTAAATCAATCCAAAGTAAGAAGTGGGGATAATAAGGTGAGTGCGCTCTAGCTACAATACATTTCTCATATTTTTTTTAAACCAATTCTCATTGTTATTGTTTTATTTCTATTAAATAAAAATATAAAAACAAGTCTTTATTCCATATCGTTACTAAAATTCAATTCACAATTTTCTGAACAACAAACCGAGTTTTCCAACTTAAGGGGACTGGTTATTGTAGTACTTGGTTTACAATCCCTGTGGAGACGATACTTTACTTACTCATTATATTACTTGTGCGATCGGTACACTTGCCGGTGAGCATCAATGCCAAATGGATTGGGTCCATGTGTGATCTGGAGTGTACTGGGTACACATCTTGCCGTTGTATACGGATATGATACAGACACCAAATGGACTGGGTCCATGTGTGATCTAGAGTGTACTGGGTACACATTTGGTCGTTATATACAGATATGTTATAAATATGAATTCCCATGTGTACTGGGTGCACGTTATACGGCTTGATATTACTATCTCTACGCGGCTTATGTGCCCGGAGTGTATGGTTATCTCTGTGTGGCTTATGTGCTCGGAGACTATTGTGATCTTTGTGCGGAGTATGTTCTCGGAGACTCCTTATTTTTTGTGCGGATTATATTCTCGGAGACTATTGTTATCTTCTCTGAGGATTATGGTACGAGGAAGTATTTGGTCTTGAGATGATTGCTGGTATAGAAGAGATGGATTATGTTACCGCACAACTGAAAATGTGCCATGTGAGAAACGTAAGATGTGATGTCAAGTAATTTTAAGTGGACAACAATATGTCAAATTGGATAGAAGATGTGAGGCATCATGAGTAGGATTTATGAGGTGTGATCTCAGAGAATTCCGTAGTGTGTGTTCACCAAGCATGATGATATGGATTTTGGTTTCACGTGATGTTGTGAAGTTTGTTGGGATTCTCACCCTATGTGAAAGGAATAACAACTCTTCTAGTACTGATGGATTGAGTAAATGTTCCTTTAGGAAGGCCTGTGATAATGAGATGTTAAGTTACGACGATGGCCTGATGGCCTTCAATGAGAAGTTAGTTGTGACAAAGTCCAGTAATAATGACTGGTGACATAAATTATGTTCGGTTGAAGAAAAGGTTGATAACTCGGTAAAGTAACTTAGAGTATTATAAGTTTATATGTGCTTGGTGGGAGAAAAATATTCTTGGGAGATACAATATATGGATAGAAGTTTAGAAATTGATTTAAGGATGAAATTAGTTCCAGATGATATTAAACAGTTATGTTTGGGAAATTCCTGTGTGATGGGACTTATATGTAAGAATATGATATAGTATATCAAGATGGACATCCATGACCAAAGGTCGATGATTATGAAATTAAGGTATAAAGAAGTGGGACATATGTTTAAATTACAATATTGGCATTGAATGAAAAGTTAAAAATGGTTAGTTGGTGAAAATATTAGGCATAATGCCTTCGATGCAGAGGTTATTAATGGAATTTTGTGTTTAGCTTGAGATGGCTAAGTTGATAGAGTTAAGATGACTAAGTTGATAAATAGATGAACAATGGGTGTGAATTATAGATATAAAGTTGTAGATGAAAAGTTAATGAATGGATTTATGGATGAAGACTTTGAAGTGACTGACATGAAGTATAAACTATGATGAGGGTTGTTAATCCCTGTATCACTAAGAGAAAACATAGTGGTGATTATCTAAGAAGATGTGGAGACATGTCATAAAGTAAAGTAAAGTATATAAGTATAGATTTCACTGTGAGTTGGGATTATAGGATACTGTAGGGTATCGTTGAAATTAGAACGTATATGCTTAGTGGAAAAGCTAAGACATCAATGAAATTGTAAGATAAGTATCATTAGTGGAAAGAATTTGTATGTTGTGGTATTGTTGAAATAGTATTTACAGCGAAAGAATTGAACTACTATAGAAAAGGGAGTTAAAATGTTCAGGAAATGACCGATAAATGTACTTGGAGGCCGTCTGATGTTGTTATGCATGATCTTGAGCCAGAAAAATAGATAAAGATGAAAACGAAGTGAGGTTAGGCAGGCCAATTTGTAGTATAGCTATATTATTACCTATAAATTAGTGAAAGTGCAACCGCGGCCTATGAAAAATTTTAAATATAGTGAAATAAAAAGCCATATCACCGGAAGTGGCAAGTGTTTGTGAAGGATTCGGGAATGATGGATACCGCAAAAATGAGATTATGCCTGTGACGAAAGTAAAATGGTAAGGACGCACACATGGGGAGGCTACTTGGGAGCGGAAGGACGGGATTCTCCAGCTATATCCTGATTTAGTGGACCGGTACGATGCTAATTTTGCGGACAAAATTTCTAAAAGGAGGGGTGAATATAACACCTCGCATTTCTAAAACATATATTAATATATTAAATATGGATTAAACGGAAGGATTAATGAAAATCCTGAAATTAAGGTCAAAATACAAAGGAAGGGTAAAACGGTAATTAGCCTAACACGTAACCCTAGGAAAGTAAAATTGAGTAGGAGGTCTCAAATGATAAAACTAACCCTAGAAATTGATTCAGAACAAAAAATTGAGTGGTTAGGCAAGTTTCTGAAAATTTGGTGAATAGTGTTTTTACCGGGTAAAAATATTGCGGAATAGTTGCACCATAAAGCGTGCCGAATGAATTTTTAGCTCTAGGTTTGGATATAAGTTATAAATGGTACATAGGACTAGAAATTATGATTTCTGGTGAAAATTGATAAAAATTAGTGTGTTTAGGGAAGCGTACCCACGGCCGCATAACAGCTTAAAACTGCGATTTCTCCAAACGACCGGAAAACTCCAGATTCATCTGATCAAGGGAAATTAAAGGACAATGGTTAATGTTAAAATTTAGAGTTTCTAAATAGTTTGTGAGATTATGGACGTTTAGCGGAATAGACGGAAAATTCAAATAAGTTTGCAATCGCGTGAGGTGGCGGTGGGACCCATCTCACTTAAGTGGACCTTGCCACTTGGACAACACCACAAAATCAGCTCCTTCTCTCTTCTCCTCCCTCACCAAAACCGAGTTGCTTCCATGGAAGGGGAAGATTTGATTCAAAATCTTATTTCCCTCATAACTCCCTCCATACAACCTCAAATCAAGTAAAGTTTGTGAGCAAAGTTGTTGGAAATCATCATCCGAACATATCTCATCGATTAGTTTTCCTTGAAACTCTCTCATTTGAGAGAAAAAGGCCAAAACCAGCCACAAAAATTGGAGGAAATTGGAGGTTTTTGGAGTTGTTTGTTCAAGCCATTGCTTGAGGATCACTTGGAGGGGTCCTAGGCCAAGCTTGTGAGTATATTTCAACACTTTTTATGGCTTGATTCATGAATCTAAATTTTGAAAACCTAGAGCATGAGTTGTGTAATTGATGTAGTTAGAGAGCTCAAATTAAAATTGTGTATTATACAAATATGGCTTAGAATGATGTTTTAGAGTGATTGATGTCATCAAAATTAAGAAAAAGGAAAGAAGAAATTTTTAGTAAACCTGAATGATATCATATATGATTGAATTTATAGAGCAGAAAATTAATAGTAATTAAATAAATTGTATATATTATGCGATTTAAAAATTGAAAATGATTGAATAAAATAAAGAAATTTTTAGAAGAAACTTTTGAATATAACGCTGATTTTGTGAGATTTGATAAAATTTATTTTAATAGCTGATGAGAATAATAAGAGCATTTTAATTTATTCAATTTTTATTATTAATTTATTTATTATATATTTATATTAATCACTACAGATGTTATTATGTTTCAAAATTTTATGTTATGCATGACTGCAGCAACATATAAAACAAAATAATTACAAGGAGCAATACCAACACGTGCATGATTTAATTTGATTTGAAAATAAATTTTTTTATATCTAATTGTATAAATAAATAGAAACTTTAATAGAATTATTTTTCTTTATCTCAAAACAAAAAGAAAATCCTTTTACTCGTAATTCTGCCTCTATATATATGGATGTGGTCTGAAATGTAAATTGTTGAGTGAAGAGTCATGGATTACTACCTGGAAATACCAACTTATTTTGATTATTTGGAATTTTTGGAGGAAAGCAAAGAGAATGATGTTAATGCTTTCTTCGCGAAAATTTCATCTTATTCTCAATACTTGAGTTTTATGGAATTATGGTTGCCAAATTTGGAATCGATTCCATGTACTCCACCATCGTCACCACCTTCAACTCATCTTTTCTTTGATCAAAAACCTCCTCTTCCCTCTTCCTTCGTTCCCTCTGTTTTATCCCTTAATTAAGAGTCTTTGGCAACACCAACCATTGATGACTCAGTTGTTGAAACCAAGCCCTTGATACAAGATTTCAATTTTCATCCTATGTAACTTTCCATGCCTAGGGCTGGCAATATGGGCTGGCCCGCCCCGGCCCGCCACTGGCCCGCCCAAAATGGGTTGGGCCAGCCCGCCCCGTTTTGACAAAATGGGTTGAACTTTACAACCCGTCCCGTTTTATGAGTGGGCTGGCGGGCGGCGGGCCAACCCGCCTAAAATAAAAAAATTCATAAAATAAAATAAAAAACATAAAATTCTACATAAAAACACTTAAAAAAATCTGCATAAAAACACACAAAAAATTTGCATAAAAACACAAAAAAATCTG